CATAGGTAAATTTATTATTTACTTATAATTAAAATTTAACTATCATGTCTTTTCAATTTTAAATCTTGTATGTAAATCTCAAATTTAAATACGTTTTTTTGAATCTGACTAAATCCTTTAACCTACTTGCAGATTAAGATTTCCGCCCTCCGCCCCCCAATCTCAAACAGGACTCATTGCACTGGTCACAGCCCAGGAATATGACTCACACAGGAGGAAATGGCCCATCCTTCTCCCTCGGAACCGCTGGTTGAGTTGAACCAGTAGAGCAATGTGGTTTTTAGGTTAGCCGTGCAATTGTTGGTGGACTAGGCTACTTTCAAAAACAACATTATTAATATATAATATATAAACCATAAAAGTCACCCATTTTAAGGGCACAAGTCAATAAACATTTGTGTAGTTACAGAGTTGTACAAGCATGATGGTGATCCTATTTTAGGACATTTCCAGTACTTAAAAAAAGAAGGGTCACGCCTTCCTGCAGCCACCCCCAATCCCCACCTATCAGCCCACCAGGACTGTCACATTGATTCTGACTTACAGGGTCACACCCTCAAACTCCTGCGGTTGTAAGTCTCACCGAAAGAAACAGCTTTATCTTTCTTCAAGGGAGCAGCTTGGGGGTTCAAACCACTGGCCTTTCCATTGGCACCGCAACACGTAAACCACTGCCCCACTAGAGGTACTTCCCCGGAACCACAGGGAACCCCTACTCTATGTTCTGTCTTTAAAGATTTGAATTTTTAATGCTGGAGATTATTTTTTAAAAAAACAACAAAACCAGAACAGTGATGTTGCTGGGGTACTGTCAGACATTCAAGCTGGATTCAGAAGAGGCCATGGTACAAGGGATCTCATTGCTGTTATCAACTCTAAAGCACCTAACAACATATTAATCGGAGAGCATGCACCGTACAAATTCACTCTGGAGTATAAAGCACCTTCATTAGACATGCAGCATCTGTGATTACAAAGTGTCTGAGCATTCTCTGTATCAGGTAACCTCTGTATAAGATGTTGTAAATAGAGATAATGATTTACACCTGTGCTGTTGTGTGTGGAGTTTGTTTGTTTGTGTTTGTGTTTGTGTATGTCTATATACCAAGAACACTTACAAAATGTATGCCAGACAAAAAAAAAAAACCAACAAAAAAACAAAAGATTTGAATTTTTAGGATGTTTCATAAAATTTTGTATGATTTTTGGAATTGCCTCATAGGTGCTTCTTTGTCAGTCTTCTTTCATGGAGGGAAAAAAAAAGTTTTCAAGGTTCACACTATAGCAGCATTGTTTTTCTTTACGCCTGAATAATACTCCACGGATGGACGGAGCACGTTGCGTTTATTCATTAACCAGTGGACAGATACTTTGGCTGTTTCCACTTCAGGAGCATTATAAACGTTCATCTACAAGTCGTGGTGTGAATGTTTTCAAATTTTGTGTAGCGACCTACGAAGAGCCCTTGTGGTGTGGTGTGTTAAGCATTGCATTGCTAATGAACACGTCAGGCATTTGCTATTCCTTAGGAGAAAGATGGTCCATAAATTTATATCCTCGGGAATCCTTATGACAATTCTACTCTGTCCTGTAGGACTTGCCTGCAGTCAGGATTGAGTTAATAGCTGTAGGACTGGTTTTGGTCTTAGTTTGCAGGTCATCGTAGGGAGCTATGTTGGCTTAGTGATAAGGAGTCGCACTGCCAACCCAAAGGTACATAGTTTGAATCCACCAGCTGCTCTTTGGCGAGAAAGATAAGGAATCTCCTGTGTGAATTACCCATTGGAAAGTCGGCTATGAGTTGGTTCCAACTCAATGGTACATAACAGGTTATTAAAAAGACAACAAAGAAAGAAAAGACCAAAATGAGCTTTTTTTAAAAAAAATTATTTTTGTGTGTGTACTGTCAAATAGGATATGACAGGTACAGGAGAAGATTGCCCCTCCTTTTCCAGCAGAGCATCTGGTGGTGTAAGCTATTATTTTCTTTTTTTTTTTATACTAGTTTATTTACAAAGTTCATGTAAATTGTTTTTCACACCAGATCTTTCCTGTTTCCTTCACCTACTTTTCCCTCCACTCATCAAATTGTGCAACCCTATGATTAACAACCCCCTATCCTCACCCTTCTGCTCCCCCCTCCCCCACCTTGGATTCTCATACTCATTCTACAATAATGATCTCATATACAGTATTTGTCCTTATGAGACTGAGGTAGTTCACTTAGCACAATGCTCTCCAGTCCCTCCCAAGTTAGGTGGTGGTGGTTGTTGTTGTGTGCCATCAAGTCGCCTGAGACTCATAGCGATCCTATGTACAACAGCCCTAAACTCAGCTCTATCCTGTGCCAATCTCACTATCTCTGACACATCTACCCCCATTACCCCAGTCACTGAATCAATCCACCTCATCGAGGATCTTCCTCTCCTGTGCTGTCTCTCTCAGAGGACTGGTCCCTTCTTGCAACATGTCCAAAATATGTCAGATGAAGTTTCATAATCCTTGCCTCCAAGGAGCAGCCTGGCTTTACTCTCTACAGGACAAATCTGTTCGTTTTCTTAGCAGTCCATGGTATATTCAATGCTCTTCTCCAGCACCACAGCTCAAAGGCATCAGTTCTCCTTCTATCATTCCTAGTCATTGTCCAGCTCTCTGAGGCATAGCAAAGGATTGCAAAGACCATGGCGCACCTCAGTCTCCAGACTGACATCCTTCAGTACTTTAGAGAAGTCTCTAACCACAGACTTCTCCATTGCAATATGTCTTTTAATTTCCTGGCTGCTTGTGCCAAGAGTGTTGACTGTGGAGCCAAGCAAACCAAAACTGTGAACAATCTCGATCTCTTCACCATCCATTATGATGCTGCCAATAGGCCCAGTGGTGAGAATCTTTGTTTTCTTGATATTGAGCCTCAATTTACACTGAAGACTGCAGTCCCTGACCTCCTACAGCAAGCACTTCAGGTCCTTCTCGGTTTCAGCTCGCAAGGTTGTATCATTTGTATAATGGTAGTAAGTTACAAAATCATCGCTCCTGTGTGGTTCATAATAGTCCATCATGTGAATGGACCATAATTTCTCAATGCAAGTTGCTCTTGAAGAGCTGTTCTAACAGAGTCTGCTTGATATTGCATCATCCTTAATTCTTGGCTGTACTGAAACCCATTTTTGCAACTGTGTTAATCCATTTTGTTGAGGATTTCCCTTTCTTTTTGTGGCCCTTTATTTTAGTAGCCATGATGTCCTTGTCCAGAGATTATTCCTCCTGACAAAATGTCCAAAGCACACGTCACAAAGTTTCAACCTCTTTTCCTCTCTTTAAGATGTAAATAAAACGGCAAATACTTCACATTAAGGCCTAAAGTGTGACTGATCCAAGATGTTGTTGTTGGATTGAATAGGAACTGACCCACCCCTCACCCTCGAGCGTGTTTTCAGGGGCAGTTGACCCACCCCCTCACCCTCGAGCGCGTTTTCAGGGGCAGTTATTCTCACGGGAGGAGATTGCCCATCTTTCTCCCGTGGAGCAGCAGGCCGATTTAAGCCCCATGTCTTGGCGATTGCAAAGTAGTTTCTTACCTAGGCCACCAGAGCGCCTTGGTCCAAGCGGTGGATATTTTTGCGCTGCAATCCCGTAGACACGCGGTTCGAGGCCATGGGCTGCTCCGAGAGAGAAGGATGCACAATCTCCTCTCGTACAATAAACCGCGGGTAAGTTCCGACTCTACAATACACAGCAACAATACAGGCATGCGAAAGCCGCACTGTGAATAAGGAAGACTGGAGATGCTTTTGAATTGCTGTGTTGACGGACTATTGGACCGCCAGAAGAAAGAACAAATCTGTCTTGGAAAATTGCAGCCAGTTTAAAGACTAAGGTTGTGTCTGATGGGCTTTATAGTTGCTTCGTATGCATCTAAAAGTTGGACAATGAATGACATGAGGAGAATCTGTCTCTTTGAATTGTGATGTTGGACTGTTGGGAGCATTGAATGGATTGCCAAAAGAACAAACAGATCTGTCTTGGAAACAGTGCATTCAGAGTGGTCCTTAGAGGCAAGGATGGTGGAATACTTTCTCACTTTGGTCCTATTTTCAGGAGAAATCAGGCCTTGAAGAGAGAGATCAAGTAGGAAAGGCAAAGGAAGGCTGTCAATGAGATGGACTAATACAGTGATTACCACAGTGGCTTGGGCATGACAGAGATCATGAAGATTGTGCAGAACAGCACACTATTCCTATCTGTTGCTCAGAGTTGCTAGAAGTCGCAGATGGCTTTATGGAATCTAACAACAGACGGTAGGGAAGCACGTCACTCTTGTATATAAAGTATATAAAAAAGAGGAAGACCCTCAATGAGGCGGAGTGACACAGTGTCTACAATAACGGTCTCAAGCACTGTAATGATTGCATGGTATTGGGTTTCCTTATAATGTCGCTGAGAATCGGAACTCACTGTACAGCGCCGAATAACAACTTCAACGGGAGGCGCTCAATCACCAGTCCCCGGCGTTGATTGGACCTTTTCTCCTATGGTACCCAATGGGCTGTCCGTTCTGAAAGACCCGCCTCCTGTGGCGTTCTATGCCCGCCCTTATTCCAAGCCCCGCCCCGAAAGAGCCCGGCTCTGCGTTTCCCTCCTCCCACCTTCCCCTTTCACCTCCCATAACCTCCGCCCTCCTCCCATTAGGCTGCTGGGTCACGCCCCTGGGTTCTGCCCGTTATCCAATCCCGTTAACTAGCACAGCTCCATCTCCTCTTCTTATTGGTCTCTGTGCTCCTCCATCCCCGCACGTGGCCTTGAGCGACGGACTCATCTACCTATGAAGACCAGAAGGTGGGACTTCCGGCGACGTCGGGCCCAATAAGAACGAGCCGGTCGGCTTGCCCTAAGCGGCCGCCCCCGCCCCTCAGCGTCTCGCTCCCGCCCCCGGCTTCGCCTCCCGCTGCCGCTACCGCCGCTGCCGCCGCTTCCCGCGGCCTGGGCCTCCAGCCGCCAGCATGCCGCACGCCTTCAAGCCCGGGGACTTGGTGTTCGCCAAGATGAAGGGCTACCCGCACTGGCCAGCCCGGGTGAGGCCGCGCGGGAGATGGGCCAGGCGAGGTGGGGGGTGGGGCAGCGCGGGCCCCGGCCGGGGGAACCCGCGCGCCTGAGGTTCGGGGCCCGACGATTCCGTGCGCCGGCTCCGGAGGGACCGGGGTGACCCTCGCACCGGGGTCGGGGGGCTGAGGCTTCCGTGCACTGGAGTTCGGGGGTGGGGTGGGGGGCGCCTGCGGGTCTCCCACGCGCTGGAGCGCACGGGGGCGCGGGGGTTCCTCGCACTGGAGTTTGGGAGAGCTTGGCCCGCGGGGACGGAGTGGCGGAGGTCCGGGATGCACGGAGCCGATGTGCACGGGGCTGAAGGCTCTCGGGGCCTGAGAGGGCAGGGGGTCGAGGCTGAGAGCCTGCGGGGGGCACGGTGCGAGCTCTGAGGGGGGTGGCGTTTGGAGAGAGCTAAAGTTCGGCGAGCGGGGGGGAGTCCCCCAGGCTGCAAAACCCAGCGATCCGAGGGTTTGGCTTCGAGGGGTCTTGACCGAAGTGGGGAGGGGTGGGGAGTTGAGATGAGCCTGCAGGAAGGGACAAGGGTTGAAGGTCAAGGCTAAGGGGAGCAGAGGGCTACGCCGGAGGGTCCGAGGGTGCCCAGGCATGGACAGGGGGCTGGGGGTCTTGTTCACGAGGTCACTGGGACTGAGGGGGCTGCGGGGGGAGAACTAGAGGACCGAGGGGCTGGAGGACTGAACGAGGGTTCTTGGGGGGACCCCCTGCTCTGGTGGAGGAGGCTGCACGCTGATGGGACGCCCGAGTGGGCAACCCAGGACTTGGGAGGATTTCGGGGTGCGGTGGTCTTCATCAGCTCTTCAAACCCAGAGCAATCACTATTAAAGGGGGGGGGGGCTGAAGCCTAAGGAGTGTCTTCGGGGAGGGGGCTGCACCTGGGAGGGCCCCACTGGGGTGACCCTTTTGGGGAATCGTGGGCTGAAAATGGGGTCCTGAGTGTCGGGGGTCCAGCATAGGGGGCAACCCCCTGGAATTAGTTGTCATCTCCTTGTCTTGAGTCTAGCTTTGACCTGGGACTGAAGGCAGGGGGTGGGAATCCGGGGTTTTTTTGGGGTCCCAGCAGCTGGGAGAGTGGAAGGATGGGGGTGCCTGGGGCTCGGACGGGGAGTGGGCGGCCTGGTGGCCCCGCGTCGCTCGCGGTTCTCTGGGCGGCAGTCAGCCGAGGTCCAGGTGGGGAAAAGGCCGCCAGCGGGTGCCCGGAGGTGGTGCAGGGACAACTGCCCGGCGGCCCTGAGACCCGGGGCGAGGAGCATCAGGGGCGTGTCCAGGGTGGGATGGGAGCGGCCGGTGCTGGGGCCCCGGGGGTGCTGGGATTGGGGATGCCACTGGGAGAGAGGGGGAGAGGAGGGTTTGGGGGTGCATATGGGTGGCCGAGGACGTTAACAGAGCAACCTTGGGGAGCCCAGCAGCCCGGAGGGGACGGAGAAGCGGACACTAGAAGGATTCCCGGGTCTGGAGGGCGCGCCCGCATCCGATTTTCCTGGGGGAAACCAGATCGAGGAAACTTTGTAGGCACTTCCCTCCTGTCCTGGTGGTTCCCCCCCTCTGCCAGCGCCCGCTGCCGTGTTTCCCCCTTCCCAGCTCCTTGCGAAGCCGGAACATTTCTAGGCACCTGATTGGAAGTGAAGGGGCTGCTTAGCCTCCCGTGGGGAGGTGACTGACAGCTGCCGGAGCCCGTGGGCCTGGAGGGGCAGGGCGGGACTTCCTGGATGCTGAGGGCCTGTCTCCTGCAGCCCACCCCCCACCCTCTGCCTCCTTGGAGCTGCCAGCTGCAGCCTGAGCCCCAGCAGCCTCTGGGGGACCACTGCAGGATTGCCTTTTTTGCGGGGAGGGGTCGAGTGGGAGCATTCTGGGAGCACTGGGAGCAGAGCCTGGCCCCACCCCCTGGTGGCTTCAGAGGACCATATTTGGCCTGGCTCAGGTGAAGCACCTGTGTGTGTGTGGGGGGGCAGTTTTCTCCCCAGGGGAGAGAGACCCACATGGGAGGGGTGGCGAGCTGTGCACTGGGGTCCCCCTAGGAAGGTAGAATCTTCAGTGGATAGTGATGCGCCCCCTCTTCCCAGCTTGCTGCTCCTCAAGTGACTTGGCGACCTCTTGGGTCTCTGGGTGAACTTCTTGACCCCTGACCACCCCACCTGTCCGCTCACTGCAGATCGACGACATCGCTGATGGTGCCGTGAAACCTCCGCCCAACAAATACCCCATCTTCTTCTTTGGTACACACGAGACGTAAGTGCCGCCCGGGGGGCCACATCTTCCCTGTGGGTGCCCCCCGCCCGGCGTGGCTCACGGCCTGCCTTGTCCTCTACAGAGCCTTCCTGGGACCCAAGGACCTGTTCCCCTACGACAAGTGCAAAGACAAATACGGGAAACCCAACAAGAGGAAAGGGTTCAATGAGGGCCTGTGGGAGATCCAGAACAACCCCCACGCCAGCTACAGCGCACCCCCGGTGAGCAGGGCCTGGGGCGGGAGGCCCGCGGTTGCTGGAGCCGCCTCTGGGGTGGGGTGTCCTGTGCATGTGGGGTGTTCAGTGGCATTCCTGCCCTCCACCCACTCGATGCCAGTGGTGAGGACTCAGCTCTAGGATTGTCCTGACTTTTGCAGTGCTGTGATCTCTCTGATACCACCTCTTGTCTCCTAAGAAAAAAAGCTTTTTCCCCCCATCTCCGCCACCCCTGCCCCCAATAAACTGCCAGACCTGGACTCTGGAAGGGGCGGTGGTCAGGTGGGAGAGTTCTGGGTCTGGGGGATGAGGGGCAAACAATGCCAGCAGTCACAGCGTGATGTCCAGGTGGCCAGCAGGGCTGAGGGGCTTCCAGGAAGGATGGAGCTGTTGTGATATCGTGTTGACAGAAAGGCCTGGAAGGCACAGAAGAATGGGGGAGGGTGGCTCGGCCAGTGTTTGGGGGTGAGCTGAGCCAGGTCTTCACTCTGCTGACAGGCCTTGCTGCTGAAGTTTGTGTGGGGAGGAGGCATGCCTTGGTCTGATGAGGTGAGGGTGGGAGGTTGGCCAGGAGGCGAAGGGAACTGACCGCAGGTGGGGAAGTTTGTGCTGTTGGGGGCTGACAGGTGGCCCCACATGGGAAGGTCCCTGCTCAGCCTGACTGGAGGATGGAGTGTCTGTGGGGCCTGGTCTCGCCTCGGAACTCGGAGTCCTGAGCTGCAGGCCTTTCTGCATTGACACCTGTCGGCAGGTGCTGTGCGAGGGACCAGGAAGACAAGTGCGTGGGGCACAGCCCTAGCTGGGAGCTCGGTCCCCCGGCGGTGCTCTATGGGGGCCTGGGTTTCTGTGTGTCTTGGTGGTGGTTGCTGTTCTATGACACTGTTTGGGAGGAGGGGTCCTCTGGTCTGGTCTTGCTGGGTACTGGAGAGTCGGAGAACTGCCCGGAGGACCTTTTGGGGATTTAAAAAAAATTGTGTTGTTGAGCTTGTACGTGGTGAAACATAAAGCATGCCAGCAGCTTCTCTGTGCGCCACTTGGTTATGTCGGTGACATTCTTCAAGTTGTGCGCCCACGGGAGTTTCTAGATGGCCACGTCTGTGTCTCCCGCTGAACCCCTTCCTGGTAGCAGCCCCAAGGTCCCTCGCCGGTTCCCTCCCGCAGGCCTGGGGGGGCTGTAGCTCGGAGCAGCGGATCAGCACGTCTGCCCGTAGTGGAGTTGCAGGAGCTCCTTTTCTGGCCTCAGCTCAGGTTCTCAGCAGTTACATCCCGTTACCTCCCGGTGAATCATCACACATTTAATATTTATTGGACTCCCACAGCCTGCTGAGCTCTGCGAGATGCCTGCCCTCGAGGAAAGGAAATGAAAAAATAGTGCAGCCTTGACATTAAGGCCAGTGGGCTGCGTTCCCTGTGGCCGGGGGCAGCTGGGGGCTGGTTCAGACCCCTCACCTGACTGTAGTCCCCGGCGGGCGCTGCCTCAGAATACAGGTTCCTGGGCCACAGCTCTGGGGGTCTTGAGTTCACTTAGGGAGAAGGCCTGGAAACTCGGACCTGCTACACACACCTCGGGCCCCCACCCTCATCATTCTAGATGCTTCTGCCACAGTCACTCCAGGGCCAGGCCTTAACAAGTACTGCACTCTGGGTAATGGAGCAGTCTTCTGTTTTTTGAGCCTTAAAGATTTTATTTTTTTATAGTTAGGATAGAGATACAGGATTGTTGTACAGAATGAAAGTGGCTCAAAAAGCTACTCTTTTCCTCTAAAGATAGCCACAGCCGCCACTTTCTTCTGGATCTTTCCATGATGTTTTATTTTTTTAAAAAGTATACATTTCTGTTTGTTTTAGTAAAAAAAAATAAGTGTATAACAGAATATTTCCTAGTTCAGTTTTCTAATGTATAGTGTAGGGACACTGTTTCATTATATTGGCTAGCCATCACCACTGTCTGCTTCCAGAATTTTCCACCACCCTTCACAGAAACTCAGCCTCCACCAGCAGGGGTTCAGTCCCGCCTTTCCCTTGCACTCCTGGTCACGATGACTAAATTCTGATCTCTGTCCATCGGCCTGTTCTAGATCTATCGTTTAAGCAGAGTCGTGTGGTGTTTCACTTTTTTGTGAATCGATAATTTTGCTTAACGTAACCCAGTCCAGGGTTGTGCATGGCGGGACTTTGCTTCTCTGTATAGTGGAGTAATACTCTGTTGGGTGGAGGAGTCTGGGTGTCAGTAAAGTGGGTAAAGAATTGGGTTGCGAACCAGAAGGTGAATAGTTTGGACCCGCCTCCATCCCCACAGGAGACAGAGGAGGTCTGCTTCTGAAAGGTCTTCAGCGTCAGAAGCCCGGTGGGAGGCTCCGCTCAGTCCTGCAGCTGGACAGAGTGAGTGCGGACCCCTGGCTGCAGCCTTGGTCTGCTTGGCGCACGCTGGAAGTCACCATTCATCAGGTGGCCACGTTGGTGGCTTTCACCTCTGACTTGTCCTGGTGCCTGAGGCACAGGGGTCTGTCACCACTCCAGTCCTCACCTCTGCGGTCTGCATTCCTGAACCAAACAGTCATTCCGTGTGTAACTTAAAGAACCACCTTCGCTGTGTTCACAGACTGTACCAAACCAGCACTTGATGACGCACCGCCTTCTCCACATACTCACCAGCACCCGTTGTTCTATTTTTCTGATCTTTCCTGTTTTAGGATGAGGTGAAATCTCTTGGGGGCTCCGATGTGCAATGTTTAGGTGACTCGTGCTCCTGCGTGTCTCCGTGTCTTGTCCTGTGCTGGTTGGCCATCTGTAAGCTGCCTTTCATGATTCTCCATCTATAAGCATCTAATTCCTGCTTTGCTGTTTGTCTGACAGTCCATCTTGGAGCCTGAGTCATGGAAACACCCAGTGACACCTCGTTTCCGACAGCCTTTGCCAAATTAGTGTCCATCCCCTGTGTGTGGGAGGCCTCGTCCCCAGCACCTTGACTGGTCAGCAGGTGGGAACAGTCCCTAGATGTGGCTTTAATGACATTGGCCATTGATCTTGGCACTGATCTGAGAGTGCGCTGGACAGATGGTGCTACTCTCGCCATTTTACAGATCCTCACTGCCCGGAGGGGCAGCTGGAATCCCTGCAGGCTGTCGGCCAGCAGCCCTGACCTGCTAGGCTCTGCCCAAGACGTCTCCATGCATTGCCACTGTCCCGTGCAGGGCAGAATCACCCCAGGAGAGAGAGGCTAGGCTTGATGTTAGATGCTTCGTTCATCCTGGGGAACTGAACTCCCAGAGGTACAGGCCACCCTTCCCACTGCGACGCTGGGGTTGTTGGAGTGACCTTCCTCTGCTGTGCACTGTAGGGTGTTGAGATGCATCTCTGGTTCCCACCAGCTCGATGCCGGTAGCACCTTCCCAGTAGTGATACCTACAGTTATTCCCAGACGTGGCCCAGGAGCCAGGCTCGCTCTAGGCAGGAACCACTTGGCCCAGGGTCATCCACCTTGGCAGCCATGTCTCTTGGCTAATGAAGAGAGAAGGGGACCCTCCCACTTGTCCACACAGAGCTGGCCTGGGGGGAAACCCAGACCCCGCTCCTGCCACATACTTCACAGGCGCTGTGGGGTCTGGGGTCAGAGGTGGGTGGCTGAGTCCAGCACAAGGGGCAGCTGTTCCTCCCGTCTCCATCCAGCCTCCACGAGCGGGGATGGACGTCGGGGCAGCGCTGAAAGGTCATCTCTAAGCTAGAGGCATCTGGGGTCCTGCCTCCTCCACTACTCTGCTCTGTATATCGGACTTTGGTCTCTTCCTTTGAATGATGGTTTGAGCAGAGGCGCCGAGAGCTAGTTATTTTCCCTTCAGCCGTTCACGGACATCCTGTTTTCTCGGGTCAGCTGCAGTACCCACGGTACAACCAAACTTCTCTTCCTCTCTCCAATTTCTTAAAAACCCATTCATTTTTACTCCCCTCTCCCTTCTTATTAACCGTCAGAATGATCCTGCCTTCGTGTGAGGTTGTTTTTCTTTCTTGTTCTTAATTCCTTTTCTTCACATGAGCCTGTCTTTAGCTTTCTTCATAGCGCTCTTACGCCGTCGTTATCCTTTTGTGGCTGACTTACGTAACTCAGCTTAATTTGTTCTCGATTCATCTGTGTTGGGCAGAATTTCACCAACTCGTGGTTGTTTTTTAGTGATGCGTAATACTCCGTTACGTTCATGTACCAGTTTTTTTAGCCATTTTTCTGTTCAGGGATACTCGTATTGTTTCTCACTCTTTGTTATAAAATGAAGGCTGGAGTAGACTTCACAGAGTGTGTGTATATGTCAGTGTGGCTCGCGGCCCCTGTGTCTTTGGGGCACGTACCTAGCGGTGGGCTTGTTGGATCAAATGGCATTTCTGTTTTCACGTCTTTAAAATGCTTTCCACGGCAGCTGCACCATTTTACTTTCTCACCAGTCTCTCCATGCCTTTGCCAGCTTTTGCCATTTGCTGCTTGTTCAACTTGTTTTGATCTCAGTCTCTTCACTGGCGAATGAGGGAGCCCTGGTGGTCTAACGGGTGAGGGGTTGTGCTCCCTACACAAAGGCAGGTGTTTGTGAGGAGGAAAGACAGCTAGTCCCTGCCACGGGATTGACAGCCTCAGCTGTGGGTCCGATCCGACTCGAGAGCCATGAGTGATGAGTGACCAGTGGTCCTGGGACTGTCTTCGGGTTCATTGGACGTCGGAATGGTTCCTTTCGTGAAGTGTCTGTTCGTGTTCTCTGACCAGTTTGTAATTGGGTTGTCTTCTCGTTGAGGCCTTGGAGTTTTCTGTAAATTTTAGAGATGAGTTTTTGTCAGATGTGTTGTTCCCAAGTATTTTTTTTCCCCAGTCCGCAGGTTTTCTTTCCAGTCTTTTGGAGAACAATTTGATTTTTAGGAGACACCAGGCATCTAGTTCACCTTCTATCAGTTGGACATTTGGTAATCTATGTCACAAGCTGTGGTGATTTTAGTGGTAAGGAATTGAACTGCCAACCAAAAGGCAT